TATAGACAGATACTGAAAGGCGAAATGTTGTAATAAATATGGCGACAAAGATGAGGACAATAGTCCATAATTATGTAAATAGTGTACATAATACCTCATCTCAGAAATATAGACAGATATTGAAAGGCAAACGTTGTAATAAATATGGTGACAAAAGATGAGGACAATAGTCCAAATAATGTAAATAGTGTACATAATACCTCATCTCAGAAATATAGACAGATACTGAAAGGCGAAACGTTGTAATAAATATGGCGATAAAGATGAGGACAATAGTCCAAATTATGTAAAATAGTGTACATAATACCTCATCTCAGAAATATAGACAGATACTGAAAGGCGAAGCGTTGTAATAAATATGGCGACAAAGATGAGGACAATAGTCAAATTATGTAAATAGTGTACATAATACCTCATCTCAGAAATATAGACAGATACTGAAAGGCGAAACGTTGTAATAAATATGGCGACAAAGATGAGGACAATAGTTGAATTATGTAAATAGTGTACATAATACCTCATCTCAGAAATATAGACAGATACTGAAAGGCCGAAACGTTGTAATAAATATGGTGACGAAGATGAGGACAATAGTCCAAATAATGTAAATAGTGTACATAATACCTCATCTCAGAAATATAGACAGATACTGAAAGGCCGAAACGTTGTAATAAATATGGCGACAAAGATGAGGACAATAGTCCGAATTATGTAAATAGTATACATAATACCTCATCTCAGAAATATAGACAGATACTGAAAGGCCGAAACATTGTAATAAATATGGCGACAAAGATGAGGACAATAGTCCAAATAATGTAAATAGTATACATAATACCTCATCTCAGAAATATAGACAGATACTAAAGGGCCAAAAGATTGTGATAAATATGGTAACAAAGATGAGGACGATAGTCCGAATAATATAAATAGTATACATAATACCTCATCTCAGAAATATAGACAGATACTGAAGGGCCAAAAGATTGTGATAAATATGGTAACAAAGATGAGGACAATAGTCCGAATAATATAAATAGTATACATAATACCTCATCTCAGAAATATAGACAGATACTGAAGGGCCAAAAGATTGTGATAAATATGGTAACAAAGATGAGGACAATAGTCCGAATAATATAAATAGTATACATAATACCTCATCTCAGAAATATAGACAGATAATGAAGGGCCAAAAGATTGTGATAAATATGGTAACATAGATGAGGACAATAGTCCGAATAATATAAATAGTATACATAATACCTCATCTCAGAAATATAGACAGATAATGAAGGGCCAAAAGATTGTGATAAATATGGTAACAAAGATGAGGACAATAGTCCAAATAATATAAATAGTATACATAATACCTCATCTCAGAAATATAGACAGATAATGAAGCGCCAAAAGATTGTGATAAATATGGTAACAAAGATGAGGACAATAGTCCGAATAATATAAATAGTATACATAATACCTCATCTCAGAAATATAGACAGATAATGAAGGGCCAAAAGATTGTGATAAATATGGTAACAAAGATGAGGACAATAGTCCAAATAATATAAATAGTATACATAATACCTCATCTCAGAAATATAGACAGATAATGAAAGGCCGAAACGCTGTAATAAATATGGCGACAAAGAGGAGGACAATAGTCCAAATAATGTAAATAGTATACATAATACCTCATCTCAGAAATATAGACAGATAATGAAAGGCCGAAACGTTGTAATAAATATGGCGACAAAGATGAGGACAATAGTCCAAATAATGTAAATAGTATACATAATACCTCATCTCAGAAATATAGACAGATAATGAAAGGCCGAAACGTTGTAATAAATATGGCGACAAAGATGAGGACAATAGTCCAAATAATGTAAATAGTGTACATAATACCTCATCTCAGAAATATAGACAGATATTGGTTACTTTTCCATATTATTTTATTTCCTTCTTTCTCTCTGGTTGCTTATGTTTTGTTTCATTCTTTTCCATTGGTTTCATTGATTTTCTCTCTATCTCTCTCTCCATTTCTCCCTCTCTCTTTTTGTCTGTTTCTCTCACTCTCACTCTGATTCACTTTGTTTCTCTTTCTGTCTTTCTCTTTCTGTCTTTCTCTTTCTGTTTTTCTTTGTCTCTTGCTCTCTATTTCTCTCTCTGTGTGTCTCTTGGTGTTTTTTCACCCTCTTTCTGTCTCTCTGTTTCTCTTTCTCCGTTTTTCTGTCTCTCTCTCTCTTTGTTTTTTTCCTCCTCTCTCTCTGTTCCTCCCTGTCTCTCTTACCCTCCCCGTTTGTCTCTTTGCTTCTCTCTTTCTGTTTCTCTCTCTTTCTGTATCTCTGTTTCTCCCTCTCTTTTTTTTTCTCTCTGTCACTTTGTTTCTGTCTTTCTTTTTCTCCCTCTTTCTCTATCTCTCTCTGTTTCTTTTTCGCTATATTTATATATAATCAGGTTTATACTTGAGTCTGTTGAATGCGTGGCCATTTTCAAGTGGAATTGACAAAATATCCAATAAAAACAGTAAGAAAAATAAGAACAGAACAAAATAATACTAGAAAAAAATAATGCAATACAAAGCAAGGCAAAGTAGAGACATTATAAAACAGTAAAAAAGAAACAAGATTCATATGCAACTGGGATACAGTCAAGTGTTTATAGCTGCCCAATTTCAATGCAAGAAAGAAAAATTGTGCAGCTATGATTAAGTATTGTCCATTTTTACTGACTAAGAAGAAATCCCAACATGCACCAGTAATATTTTATCTCTAAATTTGAAGAGGAAGGCATTCTCCAGAGACTGCAACCAATGGAGTCATATAACTCAACATTGATTGTGCTTATACTTAAGTCTGTTGGCAAAGAGTTTATACTTGAGTTTAGCGATAAACAATGAAACTTTTGGCAGATTTCTTTTTGTCAAATATTTTTTTTCATCTGTGGTTGATCAAAAACAAAGACAGGCAAAACCTCACTATTGCTCCTAGTTTGATGAGATGGAGCAATATTCAGACTGTTAAATGTTTGAGGATTGCTTCATTGCATTAAATTAATTGTAATTGTCTGGTGATCAATTTATCAAGTGAAATTAATAGTAGAAGTGAGGTTTGTGTCTCTATAGCCATCTTGGATTATATTCAAGGTATTTTTTCAGTCTGTGGTTGATCAAATCCAAGACTGGGAGATAGACACAAACCTCAATACTGTGATCAGTTTCATAAAATGGAGCAATTTTATTCCAGCTCTTGTTCTTTTAATTTTAGATTTCTAATCTAGTTTATCAAACAATTTTCATCTTGTTAACATAGATTTCTTTAATGTTATTTTTTTTCTTCTTTTTCTGCGGTGGTTTAGTTTTAGTTTGGTTTATTTTTTTCTTCTTTTTCTGCGGTGGTTTAGTTTTAGTTTGGTTTATTTTTTTCTTCTTTTTCTGCGGTGGTTTAGTTTTAGTTTGCTTTATTTTTTTCTTCTTTTTCTGCGGTGGTTTAGTTTTAGTTTGGTTTATTTTTTTCTTCTTTTTCTGCGGTGGTTTAGTTTTAGTTTGCTTTATTTTTTTCTTCTTTTTCTGCGGTGGTTTAGTTTTAGTTTGGTTTATTTTTTTCTTGTTGTTCTTTTTTTGGTGTCATTTATTTATTTATTATCCATTTAATAGGAAAGTTTCAAGTCTTTCAAACAAGGTACACAAACAACAGAAAGGAATGCCAGAAAAATGAGGAATATTTCTGACCAAGAATTTGCTTTGCAACACATCTGTCCAGTGTGTAGTCAAGTTCTTTCCTCCAGCATTGGTCTTGTTAACCATATCAGGCACCTTAGCCAGAATGGACATAAAAGATTGCCTGAAATTAACTAGCAATTGAAATTAATATGCTATGCCTGTGCATTTAATGATAAATCATATGCTTACTTGCAAAGTCATCTTCATTGTCATAGCAGAAACATTATGTGGCAAACTGTACCCAAGAATAATACTGAATATGTATTTTGCATTTTCCATTTTGTTGCCAAAACAAATACACATCTAAGTTAGAGAATTTGTGAAAGAACCAAGCAACAGATAATTTCTAAAAGTGGTCAGCCTCAAAATTGAGTAGACAGCCAATATATATATATATATATATATATATATATATATATATATATATATATATATTAGTAACTATACTTAGTTGGTGGAAAAACCCAGATGACGCAATTCACAAATACAAATATAGCAAAACAAATTGGTACCTGGGAAAAAAATTAGAAAAAAAAGAAAGAACTAGGAACATTCAAGCAGGGCAAAAAAATCAACCAGTACCTTAAATTCCAGGCCAAAGTAAAAAAAAAAACAATCGAGTAACTAAGATAAAACATAAAATGCTCAATACACTAAGTAGAACAGATAAAAAATATTCATATATATAATATATATATATATATATATATATATATATATATATATATATATACAGTACAGTTCAAAAAGTTTGAAGAAAAACTCTCAGAATTTGCATGGGGTGAACTTAACAGAAGAGTTAAAAAAAATTTTTAAAAGTCATTGTAAAAAGAATGGAATCAATTATAAACCTTATACTTTGAGACAAATTTTACAAGGAATGGCAAAAATTTGTGCTGTAGTAATCAAGGCTAAAGGAGACCAAAATTTAACCATAAAATGATTTTTTTCTTTTTGTCATAATAAAATTTCTAATAAAAGATCATGTCTCATTTTCTTTAATCATGCATAATAATGTAAAGTACAAAACAACTTTTTGCGACAATTAAAATATTACCAGGGGTGGCCTTAAACTGTAGTATATGTATATATATATATATATATATATATTAAAAAAAAATTAAATTTTCCTTATCTGCCATATTTAGCAAAAGATATTTAAAAGAAGCTTTCTATCCATATATATATGTATATATATATATATATATATATATATATACATGCATACATATGAATTAATGTTTAGAAACTTTCTATGACAAGTATCAAAGGATACATTTCATGCATTTTTTTAATTTGCTGCCAAAATTTCATGCATTTTCTTATTTGTTGCCAAAATTTTGATAGATAGATAGATAGATAGATAGATATTAACAGAATGAGATATATATTAACATAATGAGATAGATAGAAACAAAATGAGATAGGTAAATAGATAGATAGAGTGAGAGAAAGAAAGATTTTAACAGAGTGAAATAAATTTGAACAGACTGTAGTAGATATGAAAAGACTGTCATAGACTGATAGAAAGATAGAGAGAGAAAGAGATTTTAATAGAGTGAAATAAATTTGAACAGACTGTGATAGATAGATAGATAGATAGATAGATAGATAGATAGATAGAGAGAAAGAGGTTTTAACAGAGTGAAATAAATTTGAACAGACTGTGATAGAGAGATATGAAAAGACTGTGATAGATAGATAGATAGATAGATAGATAGATAGATAGATATGAATAGTCTGAGATAGATGTGAACCTAATTATATAGGTAGATAAAGAATATTAGAATCTGATAGATATCAATGAACTGAGAGAGACAGAAGAGATTTTACTTTTTCCAACGCTATCATTTGTGTTTATTAATTGAGAAAGTTTAGAACAAATGAAATTGAAAAGAGAAAAGCAAAAGTGGAGTGATATACAATGCAGCTACATATCAAAATGGTGGATTTGTAAACAAAAAAAGTTGTGCCTAAAGATGGTCAGAGCCATCAACATTGCCAAGATTTACCCAATCAGGCACCCAACCAATTCTTAACATCTTTGGAATAATGCAAATTCCAACTGATTATTTCCTGCTTCTTCTTGCAGACTTTCGCCTTTTTGCTTGCCTTTGGATTTATTTGGTAATGAAAGTCATGTTTCGTCATCTTCATAAAATTCTGTGCCAATACCTTGGTGAATATTTTTTCATTTTCTACCAAAAAAAATAAAAAATAATAAAATTAAAAATGGTGTATATTTTCTCTGTGTGGAATTGTTTTTTTTCAGAAATAACAGTCTTCATGAAACTTTAAAATTTTATGTTCCTTCTTTTGAAAATCAAATAATGCCAATATTTACTAAGTATAGCTGAGTCTGGTACAAGGTCATGAAGGCAGAGCACTTAATGATGGTTGAACTCAACAACAGATTGCTAATCATTGTTCTATAGCAGTGATGACCAAACGGGCTTGTGAAGCCTATATCAACTGGTTGGTTGATTTTGTTTAGTGGCATATCAACACCTCTATGGGTTATTTTATGTTGAAATCTAATTGTCCTGGGTATGAGATCTACTAGCAGTGCCTCTGATTGGGAGGTTTTGAGGAGCGTGGAACCACCTCTTAAATGTTGTTGTTCCCAGGTCCACCAAGACCTGGGGTGGTAGCACCTGTTAGGGTCCCAGGATGTACCTGGAAACAATAGCAATTAACAGGTGGTTCCACGCTTCTCAATAACTCAATAAATAAATCTCCTGAGCAGAGGCCTTGCTGCTGGATGTAGTTTATCGTCATACCCAGGACTAATTGCTTTTAGACTTGTAATCTGAAGTTGGAGGAAATATGCTAGCTGAGTTTTTCTTCATGTAAAGCCGATGACAGAACAGGCCTCAAGAACTCAGGGAACTCTTCCCTAACTGCACTGTCAGGTTACATTTACTTGTGGCATCTCTCACTGGGGGAATGACAGGTTGTGATTGCTACCACACCAGCAGCAATCTGCTCTCTGCTATGTTGCAACTGTTGTTGTGTTTACCTGTCAAATTGGATATCCAACAGGCCCATGGTAATTTTTCAAGTGAAAATGAATTGTAATCAAGGCCATTCTGATAATAACAAACAACTATTATTGGTAATTTACTAAACAATTCTGTCTTTTTTTTTGTTTGTAGCTGGAATAAACACTACTCTCTACACAAGGACTCCTTTCCTTTGAGGCTTTTTACTATTACTAACAATAGTAGCAAGTTTTTCTTTCTTCTTCATTCTTTCTTTTAATATCTGTCTATATCTCTGAGATGAGGTATTATGATTACTTGTATTATTTACATTATTCAGACTGTTATCCTCATCTTCATTGCCATATTCATAACGTATTCTCCAGCCTTCCTCAGGTGACTGGAATTTCAAACCGAACCCCTTATTTCATCCACCAGGGTAGATTGTTCTAGTTCCACGTGTCATGCCTCTTTCAGATGTCTCAGTTATTTCCCTTTAACTCAACTCTCCAAGTTTTTGGTTCACCACTCTTGTGGCCTGGTATTGAACTCACAGCGCTTTGGGTCTAGTCACTGGATCTAATCAACGTCTTTATCCACTGGCCCATGTGTCTTTGAGAAATCATTCTTTTAAGTCAGTTTCTGATTTTTTTTCATTCAATTCCATACTTTAGCCAAGTGTACATTCACTTAATGTGCTTATATTTTTGTGAAAGCTATGAATTCATCTCTTTTTCTCCCTGCTATGGGTAAAATAGAAGGACAGTTTGGGTTCTATAGCAGCCATGAGTGGTAACCAGTCTAAGAGAAGGGTAACTGAGTTCAAGGCTGTATGTAGCCCTGGCAAAGCAGAGGCAATACCATAGGATTTTCTGAGGTGTGCTTATTGCTAGAGGAGAACTATGCAGCTAAGAGAAGGACCGTTCACATTGACTCGATGATCCTGACTATGGCTAAATTCCAGTGAAAGGTAGCTCTATATTTGTAATGACTAGCAGTAAAAAACAAAACTATCCTTAATGATTCACTGGAATGGAATTACTTATATTTATTTAATACTAGCAGTAGAGCCCAGCATTGCCCGGGGATGTAACAGTAAGAGATAGATCAAGTATCGACCATCATAAAGACTGAAAAATAAAATTGACAAAGATTATTGTTTAAGGTTGACGGACACGCATGTCTTAATTAGTTTTTTTTTGTTTTTTTTTTTTTGTTTTTTTTACGAATTGGTCAAACCCAAACTCAAACAAAAAAATTGTTTTCAAACATTATGAGTCTACCAATTGAATAGAATTTTATTATAAAGAATTGTCTTGTAAATGGAATTTTTAAAGCATTCTGAATGTAAAAATAAAGAAAATAGTGTGCAAGACAATAAGAAACACTACCTGCCAAAAAAAAAGTGAAGTTTTGTTGAAATTGGTTGAAAAATGTAGGAAATCCAATCCCATATATAAATGAACACACACACACACACACACACACACACACACACACACACACACACACACACACACACACACAACCTGGGTTTTATAGTAAGTATAACTCGATATGAGTTGTCCCCCTTTCATTCCACGAAAGCGATGCCTCTTAATCGTGTTTTCAAATTGATTTCGTGCAAAAACAATTGTATTTTTCCAATTTTTAGCACTGTCAGAACCACCGCAAGGTAATTTTATGTAGTCCTGTGAAGTTTTGTTGAAATCGGTTGAAAAATGTAGGAAATCCGATCCAATATATAAACGAACAGACACACACACAACCTGGGTTTTATAATAAGTATGATGACTAGCAGTAAAAAACAAAATTATCCTTAATGATTCACTGGAGTGGAATTACTTATCTTTATTTAATGTTGGGATATAGATTTATTGATGTTATTAATGCAGCTAGAGTTGATCATAACACAAGTTTTGTTAAAAATCTTTTTTACTGTTGGTGAATGGTGAAAGTGCTTATGAATTAAACTTAGGAAAATTCCTCCGATATTTGTTTTATGATTAAAAAGTGGATTAAGATATATAAAGTTATGTCGATGGTGTTTATGTTTATTTTTACCTTCTTTGTTTTTTTTCTAAATACTAATTTACTTTATGGTTGTTTAGTTCTAAAGCTTTTTGTTGTAGTATACCTACGGACGATAATGGTTATGTCTCCATCCACATAAATACAATAGTAAATACTGTATGTTGGTCTGCAGTTGGAGATTCATCTCCAGCTGTGCTGGTCAAACTCTCTGCCTCTGGAAAGAGAGGATTCCCAGACGTGGCTATATCAAAGGGCAACATCTTGTCTTGGGAAACAGCTACCCAACCCTGTTTTATATGGGATCTACAGGGAATTTTTGTCCGAGCCTATAGGCTTGGATACCCCACATTAAATTCGGCTTTGTGCTACATCTGACTGCATGGGGCAGTTGGTAGATATCCTGCAGCTGGAGATTCATTGTGGATTTGAAATAATAATTATATAATTCATAATTAAGTAATTCATTGACTTTAGTAGAAACTTCAACAGAATGCAGAAAGCTCTGGACAGCCATTTCGTCCTATATTTGGGACTCATCAGTAGTGTGCATCCACTACCAAGAACTGAAACCCAGACTGTTACGATATGAGGCAAACGTATCAATACCAACTGTACCAAATCCTCCTAATAATTTCTATCACTTATATATCCTTGCTTGAACCGACTTCTACTGCTCCAGTTGGAGTGGCTTGTGGATAATAGTCGTGGTTCGTCAGGGCACAATCCTATGGGTAAAGGAAACTCGGATGAGTTCCACCATAGAATTTGTGATCGAACAGCACTATATTGAGTCTAATTCGTTACCTCTTCATCACCGAGGCCCGTTGATACAGTTGATCTGTGATTTTTTTCTTATCTGTAAATGACAGCTGATGTTTCTTGATTTATGATTTTATTCATGCAAATCTTTAACAAAATGACTTTTGGAATGTATATAAAATGAGGGTGCATATTTCTGCTTTTAATGCAAAAGAATGGATTTTGTTTTCATAAAAACTTAACTGTAGCTCAGAGCCACAAGCATATTTTCTATGCTTGAATTAACACGCAGATCAACCCAAACATTGTGGCCTGATTAAACCTGAATGAATGCAAATAAAAAAAATCCTGATGAAGAAGAATGATCCATTACATTAGGATATTACGTATCCGTGTACAAAGCTGGATGTCTGTACTTGAGTTCATCCGATATATTTTATCATTCAGACAAGCATGATCATTTTGGTTGTCATGCTCATAAATCGTCAGCCATCTTTGGTTA